AAAACATTGGTGAATGCCACAAATTCTCCTAAATCACTCGTACGCACAATTTAAGAACAAATCTGTGCGTACGAACAGTTCTTGAATGAGGCCCATTGTTTTACAGATCTATGTATTGGTACACTAAGTGAAAGAGTCTATGTAAGTTCTGAGGCAAGTTAGGAAGGCTGATCAGCAACGACACACTCCAATAAAACCCAACTTTTGTTTTTAAATATAGAAAGACACTGTGACACACTTGGGTGTGTACCCAGCAGGCAGCATGCTGAAACAGAAACTGGTATTTTAAGCTGACTCTTGCTGTGTGTTTAGATGAAGATAGAGCGAGGATGTTCTTTCTGTTTACAGATGTAATGAGCTTCTATTCTTGTCCATCTGTATGGACCCAGCCTATAACTGAGGCACTGCAAAGGGAGCAGGACACGACGTGACAACGCACCTATTGGTTTAAATTTAATCTCATGACATTGTGACAAATGTGGGTTTTAGCAAGGTGTATTATAAAGTCCCAAAGATACTAAAAGTGTTCATTTTATTGGAAATCTTTTTTTTGCATCACTGTCAGGGACACTGCAGGCACTGTTCTGCAGGAAACGAAATGTTAACAATTGCAAACAATGGAAGGTTGCACTAGGGAACAGACAAATATAAAGTTTTAAATACTTCTTTGTTCTTTTTTTTTTTTGGCAGAGCAATCCCACATGATATGTCTTGTTGGCACCTAATTTAGTCTGCAGCATGACCACACTCATGCTGTCTTCTGGCTGAAACAGATCTTTGGCTTTAATATATTCAACACCGTGTGCAAAATATTTGAAGATTCATCATCAGCAAAAACAAAACAAACAAAAATAATAATTAAAAAACAGAAAAAAAAATGTCATTTTTGGGGGGATTTCTAAAACAACCATTTTGCTCAAAACTGTATCTGCTACAGAAAAGACAATGGGCCTCATGCAAGAACATGTTCGTATTCTTATCCTAAATTTCTCTTACTTTTGTTCATACAAAGGGTTCGTACAAACATGTCACGTCAGATTCAACAAACTCTTCTATCTTCATGAAAAATGTGTAAATGAGCTGCGTAAATTCCACCTGTTCTATCCAGCTGCTCGTGCACACGAGAGGAGATTAGCATAATTACCACCCCAAAAACACCATATAAGGCTATGTTTCCTGCCTCAAATATCAGGAAGTGTCCATTCATGAAAAATCACAGCGAAAATTAAAAAGAAGAACTTTGCGAGTTCAGAGATTGAAGTCCGTCTGTCAGAGATCCAGAAAAGAAAATCTGTCATTTTTTAGCAGGTCAGCTGTGGAATAAAAAGAGCTGCTAAAAGTATAAACAACTGTGTTAAATCATTTTCATTTATTCAGAAGACACAGCACTGCGCACCGTATGCCCCCCCCCCCGCGCTCGTGGTCTCAAATGTTCTCAGTTGTSGTTCTGAAATAAGCATTTTAAAATGTTTTCAAAATATGTCTGGCACTTTGGAGAAAACCCAGGACTTGCTGGAGGGATTGTGTATCCCCTCTGGCCTGGGAACGTCTCGGAGTCCCCCAGGACGAGCTGGAAAGTGTCGCTGGGGAGAGCGGGGTCTCTCTGCTGCCCCCGCACCCAATCATGGATAAGCGGCGGAAAACGGACCAACGGACAATTTAAGTTGTTAGTCTAAATTATTACATTTAAAATTATAACTCTAATTCAAGCAGAATAGCCTATTGTCAACATAATTATGTAGTGTGATTTATTTTCAACTCAAAATATCTTCAAACTAATGAAATATAAAGTTATTAATGAAGAAAACCCGTCTGGATAACAGCAGACTGACTGCTCGTAAAATATACGACAGGTCTGGACCACACGTGAATTTTGTTTGTATCTGAAAAAAGTCTTAGAATATGAAAACATTGGTGAATGCCACAAATTCTCCTAAATCACTCGTACGCACAACTTAAGAACAAATCTGTGCGTACGAACGGTTCTTGCATGAGGCCCAATGTTTTTGAAACCCAAAACAGTTCAAAGTTAAAGTACCAAATGCAAAGACCATGATTATTGCACCCCTTGTAGGTGTACATGTCTGATATTGTTTCTTCTCCGTACACGCAGGCAGATTTATGACCACATATACTGTACTTCTCATTAGTCTTTGTATCTTGGGCTGCAGAATGAGTTTTGCAGACAAACAAAAAATAATGGAAACAAATAATAAATAATAAAAAAGCAGTTTCAAATAGGCTGAATGGATAAGTTTTTCATTGTTGACTTTTTTAAAATTAATTTGTAAATAAAAGCTTTCTGCACCGCTATACAGAGTGTATCAGAAAAAAATGATGCTCTCATAAAAATCGCCATAAAATTAACATAGACAATAATTTTGAAAATGTGGGTGTAACTTTGGTAGAGGGGATCATTCTGCTTCGAATGACACCAAAATCTTAGTTAACGCTTCACGCTCCAGTGAGCAGGGACAGTTGGAAATTCACAAAGCACGGCACTTGTTAACATTGCGGAAGACGGTGAGACGGCTCGGAACAATAGTTGCAATTGTCTGCACAAGATAAGGTGATGTTTGTGATCTGTTGTTTCAATGAAAGAAAATGACCACACGATCACATGATCTTGTACTAGGTTATGGACTAATTACATGTAATTCCCACTGAATACATGTACATGTACATGTACAGTACATTACATGTAATGTTAGTTGGCTAGACTGACTTGTCCATGGCCACTTCACATGTGTTTGTTAACCCTCGTTTATGATCCACTCAAAAATTAGATATTTTTGTTTTGATGTTAGGACATGAAAGGGTTAATTATTTTAAAAATGCCTTGGCACACGTGTAAAACACCATCTAAACTTTTAATTTTATGTGACAGATTATATTTTAACCCTCACATTTCCTTGTGCAAGGGCATGAATTTTGTGAATTTCCAACTGTCCCTGCTCACTGGAGCGTGAAGCATTCACTACGATTTTGGTGTCATTCGACGTAGAATGATCCCCTCTACCAAAGGTTACGCCCACATTTTCAAAATTATTATATATGTTAATATTATGGCAATTGTTTTCTGAGAGTATCATTTTTTTCTGATACACCCTGTATAGCCGTAGACCCCTCTATCAAACTAGAGGGTCGGTCATGAAGCATCTCATTTGGCTTTAAAGAGACAGCCTCAACACAAGTTGCTTTGAGACACGCCCCAGAAAAGGGGCGAAAGAGGGGCTTGTGGAGTTACAATAAGAAGGAATTCAGATCAAAGCAATGCAATTCCACTTTATATAGACCCCAGTAATGATTTAAATTTTTTAAAAGGATTTTAAAGTAGGGTATGTGTCTTGTAAGAAAATTACCAAAAAAACTATTGTTTATCTAAAAGTGCATGCTGTATTGTCACAGCTTTAGTTGCAACCCCTTTCCCCCCTTATTTAGCATGCATCTCACTTTGTTTTATACTTTACCTGTTGGCTGACAGATGGGAGACGAGTTTGTGGTATGAAACTCTATTTATCGAGCGATCTGACCTATTTTGGCCACACATCATCAATCTTTTCTCTCCACCTTAGCAATTTTCATTAGGCATGAGGTTTAACATAGTACAGAATGCAATTTGCATTTATATAAGCTTTTCATTAGGCCTTGCTTCTCTGAGCTTTCTGAGAACATTAAGAATTTGTCGGATATCAGTGGCAGCCAATTTAATCTAGAAGTTAAAAATAGGTTGTTGGCCTTTTGGTTTATTTTATACCAAAATATGTGATTATTGCCTTTCCATCAAATATTCTGCCTAGTTTATTATTAGGCATTTTTTATGTGCCTATGTTAGAGTTATATTCAATATGTTTTTATTTACATTTTTTTAAACTTGTTCTATCTTTGCGCTTTTGATTGAGGCAAAATTATGTGCTGAGCTGTTTTCCTCACTGTTCCAGTCTAATATATTATATTTTGCAAACTCTTTTGTAACGTGCAGCACATGCAGTGCATTCACCTTGAGAGCAGCCTCAAATCCCTCACCTCATCTGCTGACTTGCTTTAAATCTTTTGAAATGGACTCCCCGCTGTTTTGACGAGTGCCAAGTTGGGGGGGCGGGTCTTGCTGACCGTCTGGCGGTCAATCAGATATTTGATTAATGGGGGAAATTTCATAATACCTGGATTGAAAGTCAGACATAGTAGGGTTTACCTAAGAAGCTTGTAGAAATGCTCTGTGTTTGTAAAGTACCATAAAAAGAGATTTTCAGTGTGACATTGCCATCTGCTATATAAACTGGAATGTACCAAGTAAATATGTCAATGAGACTAAGGGATGATGGATTGATGGACATCACTGATGGAAAGAGGTTCCCTCTCTGCACCTGATGTTTCCAGCATCCGTCAGTTACGGGATCTGTGTGATGTCTTCACTCTTGTCAAGGTAATCAAGCTGACATTTGAGGATTTTGACCTGGAGCGGGGCTACGACACCCTGACGGTGGGAGACGGCGAGCTCGTGGGGGACCAGAAGACCATCTTTCACGTGTGAGTGGCTCCTCTTTGACCTTCATCTTCCTCGCCTCTAAACATCCCTTTGTTCCCTAACTAGTCATTTCTCTTTTTTTTTCTTTTTTTTGCCACTTCTGTTCTTTGAAATCATATTCTGTCTTTTCTCATCGCTCTTCCTCGGCCCACTCCTCGCAGAAGCCTGCTCTCTTCCTTGGCCCCCAGCCCTTATTTCTCACTGGCACAGTTTCTCTTTGATTTCATCACCACCTGATGCAGCTGTGCATGAAAAATAGATGTTGCACCACATTGTCACTCATGTCTCTTTTCAGTGTTAAAAACAATATCACAGCAATGTTGCACGACATCTCAAACTGCGTATTGATGCCCCCTAATGGAGTTAAAGCTACCAGAGGCTCTAGAACAGTGGTTCCCAAACTTTTTTATCTTCTGACCCACAAAATATCCAATGGCAAAAACTTGTGACCCCAAAAATTACTGGTCTGAGTACACAAACTTTTTAATAACCCTAAAAACACAGGCTTTTTGACAATCTAAACAGCTTGTACACAAATATAAATACTTATTTATACTTATTTTGTGTTTTTGTAATAATTATAGGGAAAATATTACATCAGTAATTATTTTATAACCCTTTAAATTGATTTCTGGAGATTATCCAAGGTGTTTCATGACCCATAATTGGGTCCCAAGCCCAACTTTGGGAACCAAAGTGCAGTGGTTCCCAAACTTTTCAGCTTTTGACCCACAAAATAACAGTTGCAGAGACCTGTGTTCACAACTATTTTTGGATGATAAACATTTGAATCAGGTCAACTAAACATGGGCATAGTAACACTATTTTTATACTACATTTATCCATTTTAAATATACTAACCTCACTCCTTTGTAACAACTAAGGCAAAAATGTAATTAATTTAGAAAATCTTTTCATGACCCCACCTTGATGTTTCAGGACCCCACTTTGGGTCCAGACCCCAACTTTGGGAACCACTGCTCTAGAACAATTCATAGGATGTTATTAATTGGGCTCACATTTAACACCTTCAGAAAGTATTTATTTTATAAAGATTAACTGTTTGCTGTTGCTTTGGTGGGTTGTGAGGTGATAAAGGTCGACAAATGAAGTGGAGGTCTGTTTACTGATACAACTTTAATTTGTATCCATGTACAAAAGCATGATTAGAAACAAATTATGTTTGTATTCTAGTTCTTTTTCAGTATAAAAGTCAAAAGAGTCCTCGTTTTTCCACGCAAGTGGAAAAAAAAACATGCTGCAGCAATCAGTGCTAATAAACTCAGGATTATGTTTTTGTGAATCAGACAAAAGATTGTAGTGTGCTGAGAATTGTTTTTTGTAAACTTAAGGTCAGAGGCGTAAAACGGCAGCGGAGCCTTAACTGTGGCAGCAAACAGGCACTGAGTCACAATCAATGAAAGCCTTTCAGTGTTAAAGTGCCACTGCTGTTTTAACCTGCAGAGAAAATGATGTGGGGGGGAGCAACACAATTTGAGTGAGCGAGCTTTAAATAGGCCAAAAAGGCAGGATGATAGATTTAATTTTTTTTACTCTAATAAAAACAGACTTGATTGGAAAGGGTAAAAGATGACAGCTGTATTTTTGTCACAAACAGCTTTTACTGTATAAATAGGAACATGGTTTAAGAAGAGGCTCGAAGCAAAACCCATTTTTGTTAATCAGCTTATTGCGAGTTTACAGGTCAGTCATGCAACATAATCTGAAATTAGGCAGGTTTTTTTTTGTAGAAATTAAAACACAAAAAGAAAAATGTTGGGAGTTTGCAAGTACAGTATACCCATAAACCCACACCTCCCAGGAATTTATAAATACTTTATCTTACCTCACACATGTTGACAGAAAAACTATAACAAAAAGGGGCAAAAACAGAACCATCTAGACGCATTTACTCATCCCACTATTCTCTGTATTCCATAACTAAAATTAGAACCCTTAATCACTTTCTCGTCAGCTAAAAACTTCCTAATTAGAGCTGGATGAAATTACTATTCAAATAGGATTAAATTACAACTGTGGCATTGAGTGATCTTGCCTTCATTTTCCACTTTCTTTTCCCCAGTAATTTTGTACTAAAAGTCTTGAATTAACAAAAATAAGAAAAAAAATTGTAGGTTAATGTTTCTCATGTGAGTTTTAGAATCCAATAATTTAATATTTAATCAAAATGTATTATGTTTGTCTCTTTCAGTTGAATTTAATACACTTGAAGCATTTAAGGCAATTTATTTGACTATTAAAGCAACAACACAATCAGTGTGGAGTAAACTCGGGCATTAGCAACACAAGGAAACAAGGAATAAATACACTCACCGGCCACTTTATTAGGTACACCACGCTAGTAACGGTTTTGTGGTCATAAAGGGATRGACATGGTCAGCAACAATACTCAGGTAGGCTGTGGCGTTGCAACGATGCTCAATTGGTACCAAGGGGCCCAAAGAGTGCCAAGAAAAGATTCCCCACACCATGACACCACCACCACCAGCCTGARCCGTTGATACAAGGCAGGATGGATCCATGCTTTCATGTTGTTGACGCCAAATTCTGACCCTACCATCCGAATGTCGCAGCAGAAATCGAGACTCATCAGACCAGGCAACGTTTTTCCAATCTTCTCTTGTCCAATTTCGATGAGCTTGTGCAAATTGTAGCCTCAGTTTCCTGTTCTTAGCTGAAAGGAGTGGCACCCGGTGTGGTCTTCTGCTGCTGAAGCCCATCTGCCTCAAAGTTCGACATGTTGTGTGTTCAGAGATGCTCTTCTGCCTACCTTGGTTGTAACGGGTGGTTATTTGAGTCACTGTTGCCTTTCTATCAGCTCGAACCAGTCTGCCCATTCTCCTCTGACCTCTGGTATCAACAAGGCATTTCTGCCCACAGGACTGCCGCTCACTGGATGTTTTTTCTTTTTCGGACCATTCTCTGTAAACCCTAGAGATGGTTGTGTGTGAAAATCCCAGTAGATCAGCAGTTTCTGAAATACTCAGACCAGCCCTTCTGGCACCAACAACCATGCCACATTCAAAGGCACTCAAATCACCTTTCTTCCCCATACTGATGCTCGGTTTGAACTGCAGGAGATTGTCTTGACCATGTCTACATGCCTAAATGCACTGAGTTGCCGCCATGTGATTGGCTGATTAGAAATTAAGTGTTAACGAGCAGTTGGACAGGTGTACCTAATAAAGTGGCCGGTGAGTGTATACAGCTTGAAACACAATGTTTTGATATAGTACATACTGTATATGACAAGCTTTCTTAAAAAACAAAAGAAAAAGAAAAGAAAATACATTTTTCATAAAATCTATTTTCATTGTGTAGCCTATCAGGTACCACCACTCCGGACCTTGTGGTTAGCACCAGTCACCAGATGTGGCTCAATTTCAAAACAGACGACACCAGTGGCTCCCTCGGCTTTAAAGTGTCCTATGAAGGTAAGGATTGCTTAGAAATGTAGATTTTCAAGTCCATAAGATGTTTTGCTTGCGAAGTGCATTTAAATACATGCTCAGGTTAGAATAAAGTAAACAATGATGGTGTGTCAATAGTTTTCAGGATGTGCTGAATTTTAGTTTTCCAAAAAAAAGCCCAAATTGATATTTTTGAGCATTTGTATTACTATCTTGACTTTTGGTTCACATGCAAAAATGGAAATCATTTACATCAACAAATCATTCAGTTTGATTGGTATAACAGTGGTACGTTGGTGCATCATTCTGATTTTAGTTCATTGTGCCTATTGATCCATGCAGCCAGCTTCATTATAACATAAAATTAAATTTACTGCCTGAAAAAAAAGTGTTTTTTTTTTTATTAAAGCGGTTTTATGTCTAAATGTGTCACAATTTAGTATGTATGAACACTTCACATGGAACTTAGGCTAAAGCCTACAAATAGCTTTTTTATTATTAGGCATGCAATTTTATTGTGTTTATTTATCTATATTATTATTATTATTATTATTATTATTATTATTAGACATGTTTTGAAATCTAGAACTCATAGTAAATATATGTCATGAATTGGTATTTTTGTTGCATCTATGTGGCTTTTATGTTGTATCAATCACCAGTGTCATGTTTGATGCACTACATCCGAGGTCTTCAACAATGGGGTCAAGGAGGTACTCCAGGGGGATACAAAGTTTTTTTTTTTCAAAGTTATGTCTTTAAACACACTTTACAATGAATTCAACAGGCAGAAAATTGATAAATGTAAACATTTAGTGGGAACACTAGCTGAATTCTTCTTTACTCGCAGCTTGACCTGCCATAAATTCTGCTCACAGCCTGCAGTTGGCTTATTTGTACTTTCATTTTTGCAATACTTCTACAACCCTGCAACTTCTAATGATAATGTTGAACTAATGTCAGCATACACAATGTAATAGGCAAGTTATTGATTAATTGAATAATCTAGAGTAGATTGATCTTATCAATCAAATAATAATTAATTGATAAGGAACCATTTTCTTAAAAAAAATACTGAGTTTTCGCTTGTGTGAAGCTGGTCTTTCTATGTGTCCTATAAGTGTGACTGTGGGGTGCATTTTTTTAGTGAAGTTTATTAAAGCACAAGACATTCTTGTTTTTCATCAGCAAAAGTAACAGAAAGTGGAGCAGCATACTGAACCAATGTGTAATTAAAACAATGAGTTCTACTTAATGAAGGGGAAGAAATGCTTTGAAACACTTCACCTCCCAGATTGGAGAAGACCAAAATCTCATTTGCATTTTCAATTACTTGTATTTTAAGCCTGATCATCAAGTTTTAGTTGCAAATACAGTGAAACCAGTTCTTTCACTCTTGCACACTCCACCATACACTTGAAGTTTAGGTCAAACACACTCAGCAGTGACCTCTGTCTTTTGTTGAAAAGGCAGCACTTGCAGCCAAGCATTAATGACAGTGAGCAGGTCCACTGCAAACTCCATCACTTCACTACTCTATTAGAACACCAAGGATGAGTTCATTAAATATTTTCAATCTTGATGCAAACGCATGCATCAAACAAAATGTGCCTAACTTTAAGGTCACACACTTCTGTCCTTAGTGATTACAACTCCTTCAACCAAGTGAAGATAATTTATGTTTTATTGTTTCTTCATTCATTTAACTTAGTCAGTTTTATTAGAAAGGCCTTCTAACAATTTATTCAACTTTAGCTGAAATATCTATACTTTCATTTCTCAAACATCAGTAACACTAGTTCTATCTAACAATATGTAAAAATATATATTTTTTGTCCTTAAGATCAAAGGTTGACCATACTGTAAATTTGGGTACACAGGGTTTGGAGATTCTGTTTTAAACAGATATTGAATAATGAGCTGCATCCCAGTTGTCTCCCTTGAAATTTCTCCCATATCATCGCTTTATGAATTACAAGTCTGGACAGCTTCAAATTGGATGCTCATCACTGCTTCTTAAAAGGTTGGCTGTATATTGAGCTGAAGAAGAAAGTATTTTTTTTCTTTTTTTTTAATTAGTGCTAAATCATAGTGTTGACAAAAAAAGTTTGTTTTTGAAATTTGACTGTTTTGTCTGGTGTGAATGAGGTCCTAAATGAGGTCAGGGTTGTTTGCATGCTTCAAACACGACATGTAGAGCCATTTGAGGCAGTGTATGCTTTACTTAAGTGCCATTCAACTGGCTGCCTACGAAGCCACATCTGGCCCGCAGATGGCGTCCATTGGGACTGACCATGAAGCCCATCCCACCCCCCAAATAAATAAATAAATAAACAACACATGAAAATTTTTTTAAAAAATGAGTAAGTTCTCTGGACGAGTTCTTCTTTGACAAAGTGATTCGTCTTTCCTCCAAGAAACTTCTTCAGTCTGACGAGCTTCAGGTGAACTCAGCCTTATAAGCACAAAAGAATGAGCCAGCACAGACGAACTACATCGTTGGATCAGGACTCTGCAGTTTACACTCATCTACAGGCCAGCTGTCACTCTTTCAGGGATGAAGATGTTCTCATCCTTGATAGAGAGGAACGTTGGTTTGAGAGAGGAGTAAAGGAAGCCATTTTTGTGAAGAAAAGACATCCATCATTAAACAGAGGTGGAGGCCTTTGTATCCAGTTGTCCTCCTCCTATAATGTTGTTATTGCAAGTATGACTCAGCCCCCTGTGAGCAAAAGTTGTGAATCAGGGCCCCAACGATAGTCAGGTGATGGGGCACATGACCCTCTATGAACAATTGATCTATTCAAGGCACTAATGACCTATCATTTGGCTGATGGTCCTCTTTTGCATGTGACCGACCTGTTTGTCCACCATGTGGAGGCAGTGCTTATAAGGCTGAGTTTACCTGAAACTCATCAGACTGAAGAAGTCTCTCGGAGGAGAGACATAATGTTTCATTAAAGAAGAACCCGTCCAGAGAATTTACTTATTTGTCTTTTAAAATTTTCTGTCTGGATTACTGAGATTAAAAAAAAAAAAACTATTTAAAAAAAAAAGATTTTAAATCAATTGGCTTTGAGTAACTGTGCCTCCTTGAGCAATTTAGTTGAATTACACTGCTTTGGGTAGTTAGAGCACTAAACTTCACTAAAACAGCTTTAGTACACTTTAGAGAATGCAGTGTAGTTGTTGATGGCAGCATGTTTTAAGGTGGAAACATACTCGCTCCGACGCCGACGGGTCGATGCGCGGTCACGTTGTTAGTCGACAGTCGTTTTTGCACAGACCTTTCATAGTTCCTGCACACTACGCCGACGAGCTCGGGGGAACCCCTCCCTCCCGCTGAAACATACGTCAC